ACTTTCCAACCATCTTGGTTTATAATAACAGTTTCAGAACAGAGGTGCTTTCCAACTATCTTGGTTTATAATAACAGTTTCAGAACAGAGGTGCTTTCCAACCATCTTGGTTTATAATAACAGTTTCAGAACAGAGGTACTTTCCAACCATCTTGGTTTATAATAACAGTTTCAGAACAGATGTGCTTCCAACCACCTTGGTATATAATAACAAAAACCAAGATGGTTGGAAAGCACCTCTGTTCTGAAACCCTCTGTTCTGAAACTGTTATTATTACTTTCCAACTATCTTGGTATATAATAACAGTTTCAGAACAGAGGTGTTTTCCAACAATCTTGGTTTATAATAACAGTTTCAGAACAAATGATAAAAAATACCTGCCTCCAGTAATGTTTGTAACGTTATTGTTTCTTTCTTGTGCATCATATTTTTTCATACTTAATGGTGAGAATGGTAGAACTAGGGGACACAAATATAAATTTTGGCAAGGTAGGAGTCATCTTCAGCTGAGACAGTTTTATTTTTCTAACAGGGTGTTTGTTTTTGGAATTGGTTGCCTTTAGATGTGGTGGAAGCAGTAAATTTAAGTGATTTTAAGGGAAGACTTGATAAATATATGAATGATAAGGCTGGCTTTGAGAGTTTTTGTTTTGTTTTTTAGTAGTTTTAGTTTAGATTAGTGGATGGACCAGTAGGTCCCTTGTTGTCCCTAAATATTATTTTATGTTATCGCTAGACAATAATTAATGGATGACCAAAGGAATAGTACATAAAAAATTATCCGAGTAATGTTTGTCACGTTATTGTTTCTTCCGTGGACAACATCATTAGACAATAATTAACGGTTGAACAAAGGAATAGTACATAAAAAATATCTGAGTAATGTTTGTCACGTTATTGTTTGTTTTTTACCACAGCATCGCTTATCGATCACCACAAGTTGACCAAGGAAATAGAGAAAAGAAAAAAAAACTTAAGTCCAAGAATTTATTCCATCGACTCGAATAAAGTAGGTAACATTTTTTCATGCCTATTTTCTTGACTTTAGGATAGACTCTAATGTGGTTTAGATAAAAAAAAAAGTAGCTGGATGTAGGCTTGAGTAGGACTAACGAAAAGTTGAGGTAAAGTTTAGATGTTCTCCTTCATTTCCTCGGAACACCACTCTTTTGTATTAAAGACATGCGGCAAAAATACTTGGAATGAAACATGCGAGAAATTTGTTACTGAAAGCTCAATCAATCTTATAAGTAGAATATATAAGAAAATTAATTAATAACACAAACCAAAATCCAAAGTTTGTTTGTTGAATTTCCCGCAAAGCTATTCGAGGGTTATATGTGTTAGTCGTTTCTAATTTTGAAATGAGAAACTACAGGGAATGCAGCTAGTCAACACCACCCACCGCCAACTCTTAGACTACTCTTTACCAGCGAATAATTGTATTGACTTTCACATTATAACGCCCCTGCGACTAAAAGGTGAGGATGTTCGGCGACGGGTTTCGATCTAGCGATCGTAGATTGCCTAGTCAATGCCTTAACTACCAGGACATGTCATGCCAAAATCCAAAGTCATGTTTTTGATCTGCGAATTGCAAATCATAGCGAGTAGAAGCACACATATTTAAAGACTAAATATGTGGGCCTTAAACCAATTTTATACAAGAATTGTGAACCAAATCGGAATCTGTAAAGCAGATGTTTTTCAAACGATGTGTCGCTGAAGCCTCCAAAGAGGACGAAAGGGTGCAATAAATTTCTTTGAAATGTTTTGTAAATACCGATACACTGAAAGAGAGTAGCACCATCTCAAACACTTTGCTGTCTGCTTGTGCTTTAGAGAAAGTAAGGCTTTTTAGTTTGTTTCACACACAACTACACAAGGGTTTTCTATCGATAGTCGTCCTAATTTGGAACTAATACACCAGATGGAAGCTAACAAAACCCACCTTCAACTCCTGGACTACTCTTGTCTCACCAAATAGTTGACTTTGATCGTCACTCTTAAAGAGCAGCCACAACCACAAAGTACAGAACGCATTTTTGCGACAACGAGATGTGGACTGTCCAGGCACACTAATTGGGTCTTCTTATTGGTGTTCGACATTAAGATTCTTAAGCTGTGGATTAGTTTCAAACTAAATTGTGTATATATTATTATACTAACGTTTATTAATTTATTTTCTAGTGATGTTTAGTTATGTGGCACTTAGGGGTATGGCTCTTGAACGTTCACCGGAAAAAGTTTGAGCAATGCTGCTATAAAGTAAGCTTGATGTGTATATCGCAGTCACAGCATGAAAAAAAAAATATCGCTGTAAGGGCAAAAGAATTTTGGGGTCAAATAATTTTACCCATATCTTAAAGCTCTCTGTAGTCAGTGTTTCAGCCAAACCATTTTAGCCATTTCTTAAAGAACTTTGTGGTCAATGTTTCTGCCAAACAGTTTGATTCATATTTTAAGTAATTGTTATGGTCAAACCATTTCATTGTATATTTGTGGAATCGTATTTTTCACATTTAGAAATACATCTTGTAATTTTAGATGTATAATAAGAATAAATAGTTTCGAATAATGACTCCTTTTTCTTTTTTTTTTAGCTTTCGACTGATATCGATTACATCATCCTAGCTTCAGCTCAGAACAGGTTTCAGTTTACGTCTAATGAGACAACCACACATCGCATCAAACGTGCTGGCTCCTCTCCACTCGTGGCTACAATCCTTGGACACTATGTAGTCAGCGCCCAGAAGGACAATACGTTTGAAGCTAACATTGAAATGTGCAGTGGTGGAAACTTGACGGAACTAGAAGTTTGTATAAACAAAATTTATTTCACCAGAAAATGACAAAATATAGTCAACAATGTGAAATACTTTCATTGCCGTTTTGTAAAATGTACTCATTTTCTAACCTTAACATTTGATTCCTATCTATAGTTCATCCTTTCTCTAAGAATGAACAAAATGTTCGAGGTTTGAGAATAATAAACAGCTTATGAATATAAATGTATAGAAGAGACGGCTGGTATGGGTATTAAAAACTTTGGTTAAAGTACAAGAAAAACGTTTTGACATTCTTAGGTCATCTTCAAGTGGGTTTCTCGTCATCATTAAAATTATGAATAAATAGGTTAAACATAACATAAAGAAAGATGTTCAGTATACCAACAAAATAACAAAGGAATAACAAAATTACAATTTGACATTAGTAACAATTATTCTAAACCTGTTGTAAATCTGAAAGGAAAGTTAGCTTCCCATACAGAAATAGTGTAGAAAATGAAAAGTCTTGAGATGGCAGGGTATCTTTTATATTACCCCATTTCTGGGTATTACTTTTTGTTGTATTAGCCCTAGTTCGTGAATAAATTTTTTATTAGAGCTAGTTCGTAAGTATATGTTGTAGTAACCCTAGTTCGTAAGTATATGTTGTAGTAACCCTAGTTCGTAAGTATATGTTGTAGTAACCCTAGTTCGTAAGTATATGTTGTAGTAGCTCTAATTCGTAAGTATATGTTGTAGTAGCCCTAGTTTATAAGTATATGTTGTAGTAGCCATATTTCGTAAGAATATGTTGTAGTAGCCATATTTCGTAAGTATATGTTGTAGTAGCCCTAGTTCGTAAGTATATGTTGTAGTAGCCCTAGTTCGTAAGTAGATGTCGTAGTAGTTCTGGTTCTTAAGTATATGTTGTAGTTGTTGATATTATATTGTAGTTATTATTTTAGTAATAAAACCTGTTTTAGTACATTTTGGACTTATTTAATCCGCTGATCTGAATGGTGAAAAAGCATTTAATTGATTTTGCTGCTGTGTTTTCCGACAATATTGTTATTTATCTTCATAACCTTATAGGGTATTGAACAGATTTATCAATATATTAACTAGATGTACTTTCGCAAGGTTCCCGATAGAGTAAATATAACTAAAATTAAGAGTATTAAT